TGTACTATGAAGTGTAGAGGTTGGAAAGCACTGTATTAAAGACAGCTAGGATTTTTGGAGTTTAATTATATTCTGGGCACCAGCAAGAGCGGAAAGGAGCATAATAAACTTTCTTGCTATAATTTCTTGTCCATAAAGCATAGAGGAAAAATGATTTCAGTATCTACTATTTTTTCTTATATGCACTGAGTCAAGACCCTGTATCAAATAACGCCTGTCCACTTCAACTGGGTCAAAAATGTGGCCTTTTTTATGGAAACTCTGTGAGATATATGTGTAATGTTTTTTCTTTCCTTAAAGCATGAACTGTTAGATAACAGCCTTCTAACTGATACAAATAGTAAGCATTACCCAGATTTTTAATATATAATCTTTTTTTCAAACTTCCTGTTTGACTTCGTCATTGCTTTTGCCAGTGGACGCATCCATTAAGCATAAACGTATTTCCCTGCTCCCAATCTGGGAAACTAAGACTGTGGAAATAAAACAGATGCACTTAAAGTTTCATAAATAGAGAGTACCGAACAGTCAGTGATAGTATGCATTTTGCATTTTATGGCTAATGGAAGAAGGAAAGCCATGAGATTTAGGAGAGAAAACCAAAGAACAGTTATTTGTAAGTATTTTTATTCCTCCTTTATACAATAGAAAGATTCCTAAAAATGTTTGACTAAATCTTCTTTATGTTAGTGTTAAATACACTAAGGAAGTCGTTCCACTTCTCGGCAGTCCGGGGTTCGCCGGTTTGGATCCCGGGTGCGGACATGGCACCGCCTGGCAAAAGCCATGCTGTGGTAGGCATCCCACATATAAAGTAGAGGAAGATGGGCATGGATGTTAGCTCAGGGCCAGTCTTCCTCAGCAAAAAGAGGAGGATTGGTAGTAGTTAGCTCAGGGCTACTCTTCCTCAAAAAAAAATAAATAAATGTACTAAGGAAGTGATTTCCAGGTGTTTTGGTATATCCAGGCCATTGATCTGCTGTGAAAAGACTTCCAGATGATTCTGTGCATCCTTCATATCTGTGAATCACACCACTAATGGTTCCTGTCTTATGGAAACTTTCTTATGCATCTGTGTGAAATTATTATTTATTTTTTAACAAGACTGAATATTTAATTACCCCCCGATTTTTCCTTATACAAGATTAGATTTGGAGATGACATTTTTTAAAGGTGATGCATCTTTGACTATTGTTTATACTTTTGATGGACAAGTTGTTCTTGTCATTCACATTTGGCAAAATGACATTTCAAGATAGAGAAGAAAAATAATTGACAGAAGAAGGTGGACACTATTGTAAACTAACTTGCTGAAAAATTATGAAATATTTAGTTTTGTTGTTTTCTTCAAAAGAAATTATTGCATATTGGAAAGTGTTTTTAATGAAGTCATTGAGCTGACAAAAGTGTTTTATAGGATTCCACTCCTGAACTTTGCTCTTTTCTTTAAAACAGAAGTTGTCTGGAAGAGCATACACGATTTTGATAACTTACAAATCAGCCATTTAAACTCTCCATATTTAATAAGTGATCAATACCTTTGTTGAATGCTCACAATCTGTTGAGTTTTGCATTCAGTATCTCATTTAATTCTCAAAACAATCACATTGGATTGTTACAGTTATTTACCTGTGTCTTATAGATGAAGTTGAGGCACATAGAAATCAGTACCATGCCCAAGGACACACAGTGAGTAAGGGATAAAGCTTGAGTTCACATGAAAGCCCTCTGACTTGACCCCATGCTCCCACCCCTGTTGTTCTCTCCTGCTTCCCATGTAATATGCTACCTCTCACTCCATCACCATACCCTCACCCCATTTCTCTCAGTCATCCCTTAGGCCAACCTGATTTCTTACTATATCATTGTAATTTTTTTTAAAAGCTCATTTATAAAACAAGTAGGATGACCAACTCCTGGTTTGCCTAGGACTCCCCAGTTACAGAACTTTTAAGTCCTGTGTCCTGGGAAACCCCTCAGTTCTGGGCAAACTGGGACTCCTGGTCACCTTAACCTATTTCCTCACTCCAGCCACATGCCTGCATCTCACTTCATTCCTCATCCCTCAACCCTTGGTATCTTAGAGATGAGATATGAGGGTAGAGAATTAGATACAAATCAGGATTTTTTAAAATATATATACTTCTTGGTGTTAAAAGACAGTGTTTGTACATTATGATACTTCTGTATCCATCCACTTCAAAATAGCCTTGTCAAAATGTGGAGGAGTGGTGCGTCCTGCCGCTACCATGTTTCCATGAATACTGTCCAAGGCATGTAAAGCGCATAAAGAAGGTTGACATATACACCAAACTAGGATGGGAGTGGGAATGGAATGGAGTAGATAGTATATTCATATTTTATTCAATGTTATGTATTATTTGAAGTTTTTTATGAGAATTTTTTGTATATTATGTTAGTAAAAGGGATTTATTAAATGTTTTTAAAAAGATCTTACAACATTTTAAGAACTAATTTGGTTTTGTTTTTATATATTATATATTCACATATTTAAACAATAAGCATTTTTTAAAAATTAAGAGCAGAGCACATATATTTTTATTTAACAAACGAAAGATCCACTACTATATACTTGTCTTTCTCCTTATGGCAAGATAGGAGAGAAAGGAATAAGAGGGTGTTGTTTGAAAGAGGAGGGGCCTGGCCTGGTGGTGTAATGGTTAAGTTCACACACTTCGCTTTGGCAGCCCAGTGTTCGAAGATTTGGCTCCCCAGCACTGCTCGGCAAGCTACACTGTGGCAGCATCCCACATAAAATAGAGGAAGATGGGCACAGATGTTAGGTCAGTGACAATCTTCCTCAAGCAAAAAGAGGAGGATTGGCAACAGCTGTTAGCTCAGGGCCAGTCTTCCTCACCAAAAAAAAAAAAAGAGAGAGAGAGAGAAGGGAAAAGGAGAGAAAACCAGAAGCATGAAGATGAGAAAGACTAAGGCAGAGACAAAGAGATAATAGCAAGAAAGAGCAGTTGGCAAAGAAACTCTTTCTTGATGTTTCTGATTGGTTCCAGTATTCAGGACTTATTGCCATTTGGGCAAACTAGGCTTGATTTTTAAGTTGCAGTTGCTAGAGAAGTGTAAGGAAGATGCAGAGTATCTGAATTTAGATAAAATAAGAGAACTTTTACTTTTAAAAGGTTCAACAATATATTTGGAGTTCATTTAGCTTTCTGTAGACAAGTCACAAATTCGCTTCTCTGAAGTACCTGCAATTCATGAAACACGCATTGAGCATTTAGTTCAGTTGGGTAGCACAGTAAGTGCTATACCCAAGGACTTATGTCTGTTCTATCTTTCCTTCACTGAACACAACTTCGCTCCAGTTAGTTTCTGGTTTATAAGACATTGGATAATATGGCAGAGTATCATATCATCACATTCTGTGTGATTGGTGTCTGTGGTTTATGTTCCTGTGTGGAGTTCTGTTTTGAATTCGATATTGTCTTCAGAGTTCGGGTAAGCACTTTCGTATGTCATCACATTAAGGAGTAGGATAAGTATCTTCTCCTTAAATAAGTGAATTATCATTTATCCTGCCAGTATAGTTTTCACATGTGTTTCTCACGTATTCCTTTAGGTGGTGTCTACATGACCGGTCAAGGTTAGGGGACCATCTGCATAAGGCTATAAGATCACAACTCAGAACTCAAATGTATGTCTGTGTGATGATAATCATAACTTTGGGTTCAAACTAGGAGGAAAAGATGAGTTATTGTTACTGTTTTCCATTGCATTGGACTTGCACAAACTCCTTCCCTCTTGCATTTCATAATTTTCACTTGATCCAGATGATTTTGCTACTTGGTTAAACTATAAGATTCTCTTTGGTGTTTTAGAGTTAATGAGTTCCAAGAGATTCCAACTTTACAATATTTGTGCTATATATTTTCATTAACTATTGAATGTTTGACTTTGATATTCTTCTTTTTATATTTAAAAGGGTTGGTGTTTCTTTATTACAAAGAACTGCAAAAGAGGATATTGCCTTACCTTACAAAACAATATTTAGGTTTGATTTACAACAACCATCAAAAAATATTTCTGTAAGCAAATATTTTACAATAGCAATAGATTCCCAAGAGAAATTACTGAAAACCATCTATATATATCTAGGAGAAGATGCTCATCTCTTTGGGATTATTTAAATTGTAATTTATTTTTTTTGAAAAAAAAGAGTTGATGTTTGCTTTGAAAAGTTAATTAGGCTTTAGTTCTCAGAACTTGCACAATAATGACTCTTACTCTCATTCATTTAAAAATTAATAATTTTATCCTCTTTAAGTATTTATTTTTATTTTTATTTTTTTTCCGATGTACGTCATATTTCAAATTCTGGATACATTACATCCTGTTCACCACCTGAACACAAATTATAGTGCATCCCCTCACATGTGACCCTAATCAGCCCTTTTGCCCTCCCCCCTCCCCCCTTCCCGTATGGTAGCCACCAGTCCAATCTCCAGTGCTATGTTTTGTTTTGTTTTTTTGTCGTTTTTATCTTCTACTTGTGAGTGAGATCATATGGTATTTGACTTTCTCCCTCTGACTTATTTCACTCAGCATAATACCCTCAAGGTCCATCCATGTTGTCACAAATGGCTGGATTTCATCATTTCTTATGGCTGAGTAGTAGTCCATCGTGTCTTTATCCATTCGTCCCTTGATGGGCACCTAGGTTGCTTCCAAGTCTTGGCTATTGTGTATAATGCTGCAATGAACATAGGGGTGCAAGTATCTTTATGCCTTTGTGTTTTCAAGTTCTTTGGATAAATACCCAGCAGTGGAATAGCTGGATCATATGCATGTTTCTTTTTAAAGATGAGCTAGGAAGCTACAGGGTTTGTATGTACTGAAAGTTCTGTTAGCTACAACCGTGTCCTCTTTCCAGAATAGCTTACACATCATTCAATAACTTTTCAAAGCAGTATTTTCCTATTTTTGAAGACTATGGAACAAATTATGTCATTTTTCTTACTATGCAGTTGGAGAATTTGATGCTGGATAAAGACGGGCACATAAAAATTACAGATTTTGGACTTTGCAAAGAAGGGATCACAGATGCCGCCACCATGAAGACGTTCTGTGGAACACCAGAATACCTGGCACCAGAGGTAGGTTGTGGTTCCCTTCTTGGGAAAAAATAACATTGACATAGTGTTTTGCGATGTGAACCATTTAAGCATTAAAAAAAAATTGTAAGACCTAGATTTCAAGAGGAATCAAATCTATTTTGGTCCCATCTGTTTAATGTATTTATTATAAGGCAAGAAAGAATATGTAGAAATTAAATTCTATAAACTTTATGAGCACAAAGGTACTAACTATAATAGAGTAAGAAAATTTTTATTTCTTGGCCATATACATTTTGTTCCTTGATTATGCCCATTTTGATTCATTTATTAAAAGAGAATAATTGAATGACTTCAACAAGAATGTTTACAGTTTTATAAACCATATTGGATTTTCCTTAGAAACAAAGAATGATAATTTGGATTGGTAGTAATGTGCATTTTTGTACTTCATTATTCGAAAATATTTCATTGAGAAAGTTAATGAAATGGCAGTGGCTTCATTTTGGAGTTCATGCCAAAGCAAGCTCCAACCTGTGACCTCCCCATGCTGAAGGTTCCACAAGAATTCATTGATTTGTTTATTCAACAACTATATATTATGTGTCTGCTATGTGTTGGGTATTTTTTAGGGTGATATGGTTACGGGAACAAGACGCAAAGGATCCAGCTCTCAGGGAACTTACTTGTGGTGGAGGGATACAGAATAAAAATAAATAAACCACATCATGTCATGTAATGAATAAGTACTAGGAAGAAAAGAAGACTTGGTAAAGGGGTGGTGTGGTGTGGTGACTCAAATAGTGTTCACGTTTCCATTGCTGTGTCACATGCCACTCCAGAGCCTACTGGTGAGAAACACCATTCTGTGTGATGGTGATTCTGAGTCAGGAGTGCAGCAGGGGACAGCGCGGGTGGCTTGTCTCTGCTCACAGGATGTGAGGCCTCAGCCAGAAGAACTGCAGGAGGGAGGCAACGCTGGCTGAAGGCTGGAGTCGGGAAGCATCTTTGTTCCCGTGTCTGACAGTGGATGCTGGCTGTCAACTGGTACCCTAGCAGGGCTATCAACAGGATTGTCTGTGTGCAACCTTAGCCTCTGCGCATGGCTGGGCTTCCTCATAACAAGATGGCTGCAGGGTAGTCAGACTTCTTTGGCTCTGGATTCTAAAAGTGAATGTCCGGGGTAACAAGTTAGAAGCTGCATCTTTTTTTTCCCCCACCTAGTAAACCATCAAGAAATGTTTTATTAGTTTTTTTGAAAATTTCTTTTCTTAGTACATTTTTTATAATTTTATTACAGTATAAGTCACATACCATAAAATTCAGCCTTTTAAAGGACAGATTAGTGATTTTTAGTATGTTCACAAAGTTGTGCAACCATCACCAGTGTCTAATTCCAGAATATTTTCATCACTCCAACAAAGAAATCCCATACCCATTAGTTCCCTGGCCTCCCCTCCCCCTAGGCAACCACTAGTCTACTTTCTGTCTCTATAGATGTACCTATTATGGACATTTCCTATAAATGGAATCATATAATACGTGGCCTGTTGTGCCTGGCTTCTTTCGCTTAGCGTAATGTTTTCAAGATTCATCCATGTGTTAGCATGTTATCAGTACTCCATTCCTTTTTATTGCCAAATGATACTCCATTGTATGGACATACCACATGTTGTTTATCTGTTAAGCAGTTGATGGACATTTGGGTTGTTTCCACTTTTTGGCTGTAATGCTGCTGTGAATTTTCGTGTATGCATCTCCTTTTATGACCTGGTTTCAGAAATTACACGACATAATTTCTGTCATATGCTTGCAGTTAAGCAGTCCTAAGCGTACACAGATTTAAGGGACAGTGACATTGACCCCACCTCTCAATGGTAGAAGAGCGCGTGAGATGGGAGATGATGTTGCAGCTACCTTTGGAAAATATAATCTTCTGTAAATGGGATGTTCAGGGAAAGTGATGTTTGACCAGAGACCTGAATGCAAGGAAGGAGGCAGCTGTTGCCTAAATAGAGGGGAAGAACTTTACAAACACAGAGAGTAGCTGCAGTAAAGCCCTGAGGCAGGAGCACGCTCGGTTCTCCCTCAGACTCTGAGAAGGCTAGTGTGGCTGGAACCGCACGGGGAGGCCTTGCTCTGTGCTGAGTGCGGGCTGCGATTCAGTGAGCACGGGCTATGTGCCATCTGCTAGATAAGTGCGTGGCATATTTGAATAACCTTTTGTAATAGCAAACTTGATCTTTTTAAAGGTGATGGAACTGAGGATCAGAATTTTTTTTAAAAAATATATTCTGGGGGCCGGCCCTGTGGCCGAGTGGTTAAGTTCATGTGCTTCACTGCAGCAGCCCAGGGTTTCGCCAGCTAGGGTCCTGGGCATGGACTTGACACCGCTCATCAAGCCATGCTGAGGTGGCGTCCCACATGCCACAACTAGAAGGACCCACAACTAAAAATACACAACTATGTACCAGGGGGCTTTGGGGAGAAAAAGGAAAAAAATAAAATCTTTAAAAATATATATATATGTATATATATATATATATTCTGTACACAGCTAGGAGGTGGTGGAGACAGAATTAGGATTCTAACTAGATTTGTCTTATGAAACCTACTTTGACTTTTTAACTGTATACATCATGGCCCCCAAGAGTCACAATTTCAAGGCCACTTAGACATGTAAATAATTGTAATTTTAAAATGGATAATTTGTAAATACTCAACAGGAAAAAGTAACCAAAAGAAATTAGGAAGTAGGAATACATTTAGAATGATACCCGCATTCCTCATACATGGAGTAACTCATACCAGTTTATTACCATAATAGTTCTTTTCTACTAGAGATTAAATTTACATTTCAACAATGTTGAGTTACTATAAACAAGTGCTAATAATTTGAAATACAGTAAATTTCCAACTATTATTTTCTTGAGGGGTGCCAAAAATACCATTTTCTCTGTTACAAATCTGGAGTTTACAATTCTCCATTTTTGTGGAGATTTTAGAAACACTATTCCTTGTTTATTCAAATACAAGATCGTATTTTCTAGACCAGGATTGTTCTTGTGAATGTCATGAACAACAAATTCTTTGTTCTCTGGAGTTCAGTTACCGTCCTGTAGATTTGCCTTGGATGATGATAGCCTGCATTTAGAATAACAAAATTAGTTGTGTCACAATTAGGGGAGACTATTTCTGAAGAAGATAAATAGATCTCATTTCAGAGGCAGATGATCTCCTAAGAAACAAAGATTGTTTTATATGCAAATGTCATCAACTGAAGAACAAAACCAAGAATTTAATGCAAGAGTCCCATTGTTTCTAAATAGAAAGTTTACAATTCACAAGAAATTTTCAATTTCTTTTTCAAGACAAATAAGAAAACATTTCTGTTTACCTTTTTTTAAAAATATTGCTAAAGTCTAGCCTTTAAAAGCAGCTTATATCCCCATGGCTGATACATGTTGATTCATAATTGAAATCTTGGCACCTTGTTTTTATAGGGTAGAGTGACCATTATAGTTACCATCTGAGGATGACAAATCGTGACACAACTAATTTCTCATGCGGTTCTAATTCTTATATTTTAAGTATTTGTGTCAAACCCTAGATTTTTGTTAAATCGGGGTAACTTTGGATGTGTTTACTCTTACTCTTAAAACAAGAATTTAAGTCCTCTCTCCTCTCCAGTATGGACCATTTCACTGAAGAACATTCATTCATAAAGGAATATTTATTGAACATTTATTAGGTGTTGTGCATTGTGTTAGGTGCTAGGAATACAAAGATAGTAAGAAATGGTTTTTGTCCTCAAGTAGCTTGCTGCTTACTAAGATGGTAAAGATATGGAAAATTATTGCTGTGCAAGAAAAGAGTAGCTTTACTGGAGTTATGTACAGTGTAGTAAAGGAGAAGGAAGGGTGCGTGCACCTGCTGAGAGGATCCAGTGGCAGTAAATGGGAAGCAGGAAAAGAAGAACCTGGACACATGGGTCAAGAGGGGCATGCAGAGGAGTTTAGATTTGATCTCACAGATGAGGGAAAATCACTTTTGAAGTGAGAGCAAGGCAGTAATGTGGTCAGATACACGTGGTCGGAGTTAGGAAGGGCTTCGCAAGACGCTGAAACCAGCCTCTGCCCTCTGCTTGGGGGGAGGTCTCTCGCTTCTTTGAACCCAGAAATTCCTAGTCCATGCCATTATGAACGCCAGACTTTTCTTGGCAGTATATTAGGAGTGGTTGTTTATCAGAGCTGGAACACATTCCTGAGTACCAATTCTCTGTCAGTGTTTTCCCTTCTCTTCTCTTGGAGAGGACTTGTTTTCTCATTGTGGAGAGATCTTATTGCAGCCTGTACCTCATCTAGTGTGGTCATCCTTTACCTTTTGAGTTGTTTTGATCTGGTAGAAATGCTTTGCTGTTTGAAGATAGATGAAGGATATTTAATCGATACCTCAAAAAGGAGTTAGAAATCAGTTCCAAACCGATTTATTAACTGTCCTGTGTATCAGACACAGCTGACTTTTAGATAAACTTAAATTTTAAATGAACTTAAGTTTCTTTGTGGCAAAGACCACCAGACAAGATAAGTCTGATAGTATAAAAATGCCATTTGTTGAAAAAAGGATATTTTCAAAAGTATTTCTTCTCTTACTGCTTTTGATGTAGAATTATAGCTCTTTATCGTTAAAGAGAAAAATCATGTCTTTTTTTTTAAGAAGTTGCGGAGATACAGTCCAAGTAGGCATAAGCTATGAGTGTGCTGTATCTCCAAAACTGCTTCAGTGTATTCAGGTTTCAATGAGTGTTTTTTTGCTCTTATGTTAGAAGGAAATAAACTTGACCTGCCATACATTATGGGCCATAAGATATTGTGAGGCGATTTTGTTTTTGCAATCTATACCATATTTCCACACCCAGAAATTATAAAGGAAATTAGAAATCACATATAAAGTCTTACTGTTGGATTTGATTATTGGGTCTGGCTCTCGTTGAATCCAAACCGTTTTATGCAGCGCTAATTATTGGAGTCTCAGCTTCGCTC